TAAAATGTGCCCCAAAACCTTATTCTAACTACTATGGCACCTATATTCGGATAAGGAGCTAGCACTGGGTTTTGTTATCACATATCTCGAAGCCATATTCCACTTCATCGTACACCCCTGTAATAGCCCTTATAGTAGCCTTACAGGAACCTTATTCTAAGTAGATTGTAGCTCAGCTGCGTTTTTTGCTTGATAGTCCTAGCCTAGCTGCAAAATTCGACGGCGACTCCAATGACCGAACATTTCGCCCCCTTCCAATGACCTTTTAGAGTTTAGGGTAATTTAAGGTTTAGCACAATTGGGGTTATCGGGATTGTAGGGTGTACTAACAAGCTTTTAGGGACTATAAGTAGAGCCACTATAGACAATATATCTACGAACTGATCAGACCTCTGAAGCGCTAAGCCCTTTTGCCCTAAACTCAAAGCCTAAACCCACGAACCCCAAAGCCTCAAACCTGGGGAGCAAGTTCACTCTGGGGCCCATTCTTGCGCCGCCTTTCCTTGCAAAACCAGTCGCAACCCATTGCCTTCAAAACACTTTAGGTCGGATACAGAGTCTGGCTTGGGGATGCAAGCCTAAGGCCTGCGATGCGGATGAGGGTTAAGTGGTTACAGTATATCGCATCTCCCAAACCGACCGAGACCTTGTTCAACCCCGAACCCTGAACCCTAAAAGTTTCAAGTTTAGGGTTCACACCTATACTCGCGGAATGCACTTCGTTTATTTGAATCACCCGTCACATGACTTGGGAACTGATAGCGAAGAAACAAAGCGCACACACACACACACACGCGGAACTACGACGGAGACTTATAGGTAAGCCTGAAGCCGAGACTGCAAGACCTGCGTTTATGCTCTCTAACCTGTACTTTTTGTTGATCACCAGTCCATCCGACAGGAGGATGGAGTGCAGACAGACCCGGAGAAAAACGAGGCGGCTTGGTTTAGGCTTTGGAGTCGATCCTTGGGTGCTTCGGCTTGGAGGCTTGGGTTTAGGGTTCAGGGTTCACCCAACAGAAGATATTGGCATAGAGTTTGTTTTGACCCTGCAAAAAATGTCGGGTACTTCAGCCTAAGTCGTTTGAAGGCTGCTTTTTCACCCTTGCTCAAAGTGGAAGCCAGCAACACAGAGGCGGCACCCCATTCTGTTCTGCCCCACAACCCTAGCAACACGGTTCAGAGTTTGGTGCTGTACCGAAGCTGAACAAGCTTGGCGGCTAGCTTAGCTCATTGACGTCGCCGCTTGCTTGTTTTGTCCCGACACGACCTTAGGTTGATCAGTGAAAGGAAGTAGGGGCTTTAGAACTGTTCGAAGCCTTCAGAAATAGTATCTCCTTCTCCTTATCGTCCCGGCACAATGATCATTGCACAGCCGCGTCGGCGTCCAAAGCGAGTACCATGGACTTGCAGCCAAGAAAGCAAACTGGCAGCTGCTGAGCAAGATGGTCACCCGCTTGCAGACGGCAGCCAGCACTGCAGCAGGAGCCTTTGCCGTGTTTGCTGAGGCGGCAGGCCACTGCAGAAGCTAAAGAGGAGTCGGTTGCAGACGGCCTGCAGAAGGACGAGCTGGCCCTTGAGAAGCCTCTGCCGCCATTCTGGTGGCTGGGCGCCCGATCGACCACCCAGCCTGAGCCAAGCTGGCAGCCAATCTCCTTTGACTTGAAATCTTAAGGCCATGACCTCCCGGAGCCTTAACCCTAAAGCTTTGAGGGTTTACGGTGCGCCAAAACGCTATACTTGGCTCGGGTTTGGATGAGCGAGCAGATAACATGATAGGGGCACCGCAGACGGTCACTCGTTTTAGGTTGAGACAAGCGGGTTTAGGGTTGAGGCTTTATGGGTTCCGGCTCAAAGCATTCTAAACCATGAAATACCCCGAAACCACAAACACTACGCCCTTTAGAACCCTCAAAGAGCCCTCGCAGAGCCTTCTGCGGAACCTTCAACGGGGCTCAACGCTTAACTTGACTCTAAAACCCCAACACCTGACTCGAACCATAGGATCTTCCCCGAACATGACAGCATTGACCCAACACTTCAAGTGCACTGCTTGGTGTTGGGGCTCGTTTCAAAGGTTCCCCTCAGGGCTCTGTAAAGGTTCCTTTAGGGGCTTCCTATCAGGGCTTCTTCAAGGGCTTCCTTCCAGGATGGGGGTATTACAAGGCTGTTTGTTTCTGTCCGATTCCGTTGTTTCGCGGAAACAAGTCGGGCAAAACGGTCGAGACTTGAAACCTGTTCCAATAGCCACCAAGCCCCACATCCTGGAGCCCAACACCCACCCCAACAAAGCCTTCAATCCTTAACAGCTCTGTAGACGACCTCTACAGAGCCCTAATGTAAAGCAGTCTGTAAAAGGATTCCAAACTCAACCTAAACTCTGAACCTAAACGTAAAACCCTAGGCCCAAAAACCCTAAACCTTGAACTTTGAACTCAATACAGCTCAAATCCCTTAAGCCAGGCAAAAGGCAAAACCTGAACTCTGAACTTTTAAACCCTAACACTCAAAGCCCTAAACTGAAAACTTAAGACCCTAAACACTAGACTCTCAGCTCTGATGCTTAACTCGCAAGCCCCTCAACCCTAAATTCTCAGCTGAACTGTAAGCCCCAAGCCCAAAACTCTAAACCCTAAGCTCTAAATTCTATACATTTTTTTAAAACCATAAGCCGTAGACCCCAGACCCTATAATCAGCCATAAATACCGTAAGCTCCGGACCCGAAGCCCTAAACCCTAA